TTGTTATATTAAAGTGAATTCATAAAAATAATTTAATTGTTTATATAAAAAAGTCAACGATATTTATCTTTTACTGTTTTATTACAATAACTATATTTTGCTTAGCGACGCTATTTTTTTTCTTTTGATAAATTAATACTTAACCCAAATGTGTATGATATTCGATATCTCTAATTGTAGTCATTTTCCCTTCCCTTCCCTTTCTACGCATATGCAATTGCGTATGTCTATGGGCAACGGTCGCTTCGCAATTTCAGCGATTTCAGCTGGCCGCTCGCTCGTTTGCCATCTTTTAATATAAAAAAAATATATATTAAGTTAATTTCTTTCTTCCGAAAACATTGACATAAAATACTATAGAAAATTAATTTTATTCTTTAATAAATTAAATGATTTTGATGAAAAATATGCAAAGAGTAAGCTTAATTAATAATTAATCGTACCTCCGATCTCTAAGGTAGGTCGCCTTCACTATTACATATTCCTACAAGAGTAAACGAAACAAGACTCGCAGCTAAATTTAGCTAAATTAACACAGCTATAATAAAAGATGTAGTCCTAAAATATAACATTATACGAATGAATGAATGAATAAATGTTGGTTTTTTTGTCCGAATGTTTTTGAGGTAATTTTTGTATGTATGAATTTCTGTGCAACTGTAACATCCTACACTATTATATCTTAAATGGTTTAGGAAAAGTAATTCTTATCGCGGCTTTTCAATAAATAATCTTGATTGTATTTTAATGAAGATTTATTTATCTGTCTCTACAGTTTTCCATCTTTTGAAAAATATGATTATAAAGTATCATTGTGTTAAATTAACTTTAATTCGCCTTTGTTTAAATTTGTATTGTTAAATTTTCTAAACAAAATCCTCTTACGTACGGAGCGTTAGTGAACAAATGTTGTGGCAGAAAACTGTGAGTTATGTAGAGGTGGAACTACTTATGTACGGACCTCAAACACTGTTTAACATGCAAACTACACCGTGAAGCTCTGGATTCGCCACTGAATGTAATATTCCGAGCTACGGGTACGGATTTAACTGAAATTTAGTTCACTCCGACCGCTTGTTAGACAGTGCTTTTAAAATTTAAATTTAAATGTGTGAACAGTGAGCTTATTCAGATTTTACTGTTTGTCTTACGATATTTATAAATTAGCTGATTTTATTTGATATAGACACATGGAGTTCTAGGTTTGGGTTATTTAAATCCTTATAGAATTTTGCTACTCTAACCGAATACAGAGTATAAATTTTAAGCGCCTGCCAAAAATTATTATCAAAGATGCTGGAACTAAACAATCAAATTCAGTCTAAAATTTCATCAAATGTTTCTTTAAAATTTGTTTAATAATCTTGCATAATAATTAAATATCAACCGAAAAGAACCTTTAATATGAGTCTTTATCTAGTTTTGTCATAATTTTACGTCAGAATTAATGTCGTGGTTGATGTAAATGTACTTATGCGCTCGAACCTAACATATTAAACATGTAAATTGTAACTACTTTAGTACGCCTCGAGTGAGTGTAATTTTGTTAGCATTAGCTATGGAAATTAATTAAAATTTCGTTCGACATATTCACTATATTCGCTTCATTACTGCAAACACTGTCAATATTAAAAGAACGAACGCTATACAAAGTTAAATGTAAAAGAGAAACGTTTTACTTTAAAATCAATAAAACAATAGACTACAAGATACAAGGTTAGATTTCACTTGTTTAATGACTTTTGTCAGACTCATTCTCTTTGAGAAAAGACAACAATATTGTTTAACACATTGGAATTTAAAACGTCCAAAAATATCAGCCTTGTTATAACATTATTCAAAAGCATCTTAATTTAATGATGCCATCAAGGTCGATGGCCAATCACTTGAGACGAGTACTTAAAGACTGGTGATACTTATAACTCAAAGCGATATTTGATATTTAAATACTTAGGTGCTAAAATGTATTGGCGTACGAAATTGGGCCACTCATGGTAAGAGCTGGGGCGTGTTTATCTGGTGTACTGAGATCTAACGAACTGTGTAGAAAATGATACAGGTAATTGTGGGTTTCCATCGACATTGTATATTACCATCTCCCTCATTCTCTTTGAAAAAACAAAGACAACATGTTTTAATATTTTAAAATGGAGAAGTTCACCTACTTATACTGTTTTACATACAAAAACTATTATATGTGTTTACTAGAAATGATAAAATAAGACGTTACTATGCGTTACAAATAAAAAAATGTGCCACAAAAACCACAAACATTCAATCATAAGCTCACTATACGTCCCCACCGAGGGGCTCGGAGCCTACCCTAAGTAAGGGGTGACTAGGCCATAGTCAACCACTCTGGCCAAGTGCGGGTTAGTTGTCTTCACACGTATCTTTGAATTTCTCTCAGATATGTGCAGGTTGCATCAAGATGTTTCCCTTCACATACATATCTAACTCGGAAATTGAAAAACACTTTGGTACATGGCGGAATTCGAACCCAGGACCTGCAGATTACAAGTCAAGTGCTTGACCCCTGAGCCACCGACGCTCTTCAGACAAACATTCAGAAATCCCTAAAAGGTATGTATAACCAAAATGATTTTTTATAATTTCATTGGTTCATTGTGTTTATTTCCGAAAAGCAAAAATCCTGTTTTTTTTTACTAAAAACTGCATTTCCTTTAGCCATATTTTTCGTCATAATAAAATATACAAAACCGAGGCTTTGTTGAGCTTGTGGCTTTCACTTTGAGATAAAATCAATTTCGTATTACCCAGCTGTGTGAAACAGCAGAGTTGCGTGAAAAATTGATATGAAATTTCGTAATAATAAAAAAAGTTTGATACGTTAAATGAATACATTCAGACAATACCTGTACATACTAACAATTAGAATTTACCCATGAAAAGACTTGTACGTATAAATTTTCTACTTTTTATTTAGACTAGTAAAATGTATATTATAATATATTAATTTCTTAATAAATATTGCTTTTCTTTAATACATAAGTAAATCATGTAATACAGATATATACAAAACCTTGTCATATACATAATAGATTATCAGAATATTCGATTATTCGAATGTCTGATAACAATTAGTCCGAGTAATCGAGTTTCCACATCGATTGTTTTGTGAACTAATTTAGCCTGAACGACTTAATCGATTGTGATGTAGGAGGTTTTGTTTGATTGTGGTTTAAGTTGAGTTGCAACAAAAAGTATGTTGTACACGTAGTGAATGTTTCTACACGGTTGGTAACATTGAACAAGGAATATATTTGAAGCATGGAAATGGACCCGTAATTGTCGATCTGGAGACTCGTTCATGAACGGATATTGACTAATGGGTTTGATGACTGGCCGACGACAACTAGACAAGATTTTCCCTTTCACAATTTCCATTTTTCAAATTGTTCATAACAAGAATGACACGGAATTGCCGATGTTAGTTAATGTATATTTTTGATTTATGTTTTTAATTTTTGTTGTAATATAAGATGTGTCTATATCAAAGTGTTCAACTTTATTCTATCCGATTACTTTTTAATATTTAATTCATCGCATCACATTTTTAATAATATATTTAAAACATTGTTTCAAATTGTCATAGATTTAAATTGCATTTTATTCTCGTTATACTTTACCTATAAATTTTATACCAACATTTATCTTTGTGGTTTTAAAGTTAACGTTAGCGGAGATTTTCCGCAACTTTATAATAATAGTTTTCTCAGCGGGATGTTAAAATAAATCATTGCATTCAATAATAACCATTTTCGAGTTATGAAATACTAGTTGTCGCCCGCGACATCGTCCTCGTGTTAAAAAAATTTAGTAGCATGTGTTCTACCGGGCTTTTTTTTATATTGCACCGAAAAACCCAGTGTTGATACCTTTGACCTTGAATAATATTTTTTTCCTAATGCGGCAACGATAGGGATTTTCAGGGTAACTATAAAAAGGTGTTCCAATGATTCCTACTAATTTTCAGCTCTATGCGAATTATTGTAGCTTCAAAATGTAATTCGACCGGGTCAAAAAAAATCTGAAACAGTGTAAAAAAAACATTAGAAAAAACATAGACGAGTAACATCTGACTATTAAGTGGTTCTCTCAACAACAATTTAGTTTATTACGCAATTTGTACGGACGCGTTATTTAGGTGTCGAGCGACTTGTCAGTAGCCGTAGCTTGTCAAGCCGACTGTACATTATTAAGAATCAAACCAAAACTGCATGACAAACGATTATTATCAGTCAAAAATTACGTGAGTGGATCTTTTGATAAAGTTAGCAATAACTTTTTCACGCGATAAGTGATCTAAAACGTCTTAGTTCAATAAATAATGTTGCCGAATAACGAAGCTTGTCGTGTGTGGTCAAGATTTGAACGAAAGAGGAAAGACGGTAGTGTTTTAAAATTACGAATTCAAGATCCACCGAGTTCAGCGCAAGAACGTGTTTTAGATTTTATAGCAAAATATTTTGTTACGGAAGAAACGTTTCAAAAAGCAGCAGGTCAGTTCAATGTTATGATGTTAATTTGGCATAAAAAAATTAAATTTTTTAACTTGTTTTTGTGTTTTTCTATTTTATTTTTATATTTTTTATAACAGCTACAATAATTCAAAGGGAACTCAAAATTGCTAGGAACGTTTGGAATTATATGGCAACTCTGAAAGTAGCTGTTGACCCTGCATTTGGAAAAAGAACAATTCAAGGTCAAAGGTACGGATTTTACGGCGAAATGCTTTTGGGTCCAATAGTATGAGCTGTTCATTAATTATCAGATATATTATCAATTCAAGAAAGCATAGCAGGCTAACTCTTATTCCAAATAGGAGATTCATTTGGCCTTTTTAGGTTTTACATACGTGTAATGGTGTTCTAAACATTTCCATTAATTTTTAGTTCCATGCGGATTATTTTTGCTTTACACATAAATCCCGCTTATCTCGTCCGGATTTTATATTAATTTTAATACTTTTTCATCAGGTATATATTCTAATCCTGACTCTATAGCAGAATATCGAGAAATTATAAAAGAAATATTCAAGAAATGGATTATTGTAATTTGCTGTGAAGATAATAATTCTGAAGATGTGGGTGATATTCTCGGGGTTTCTGCTGTAGAATTGGTTGAAGATAAATCATTTGATGGACTAGAGGTAAAATTAATAATAATCCATATATTAAACTACACGTATGTACACTCAGCTGCATCAATATGTATACATTTATAAAACTTAAGAAATTTGTACTTATATATGCTATCGGTTTCAAAAACGTACGACATCCGTTTAAATTCGTGGGGCGATTCTTTCATAAATATTTTTTAAACCAAAAGCGTATACAAGTTTCTAAAACTTTCTAAATGTCTACATATTCATGCAGCTGACTGTACATTATTAACGTGAATTACTACTATCAGTAATCACCTGTACAAAGATATATCCTTATCTCCGTATTTCCAATAACGAAGGATGACGCTATAATTTGTCCCTAATGTTTCGTCAGTAGAAATTGATGAGATAACAAAGCCAGACCTACTCCTGTCGCTTTATGCAATGTTATAGACTCCTCGAATAGGGGACTATAGTTTTCGCTTCTGAGTGAAGTTAGATTTAACGATGAGTTGGTAAATTTCAAATAGTTTACAGTTATTATAACCAAAGACATTTCGCTTCGTCTCGGTAATAAAAAGATCTGACTTAACTTCCTCAATTTAAACAGTCAGTTGGATTGCTTAAAACACTATTGATTGACATAATCATCTTACTAATATTATAAACGCAAATGTTTGGATGGATGGATGGATATCGCTGAAATTTGGAATAGATACAGAATATAGTCTGGAAGAACAAATAGGCTACTTATTAAGTTATTTTTGATATCGCGCGGACGGTGTCGGGGGCGACACCTAGTCAGTTTATATTTTTGTTTTTCTGCCTGCTTTCGTATGTAATTTGTTATTATTAGCATATTATTATAAATAGATTATTGATTTTAGTTACAGACTAAAGAAATTCAAAATTTAATAACAACAATGCTGGAGTGCGAGAAATTAGTGAAGCCACTAATGAAAGAATTTACTAAACATCATGATGGAAGAGGAATAACCGTTCATCCTGACTATAGAGTTCTTGGTATCTCAAGTGAATTTGTAAAGATAAGGTAAGTAAGAATAGATATTTAATTGTAATTAAATAGCAAATACCTGTCTAAAAATTTATATATCATGTCCAAACATAGATCTATTTTAATTTTATCTAATCTTAGTTACATGTCATAGAGATGATTATCTTCCTGCCTTTACCTGCGAAGTTACTAATCTTCCATAAATCTCTATGAGTTGTATATTTAAATTCATTCCTTTCTTATTCATCCTTCTTCACATGTTCATCTACTTCTATCTATGTAACAATTTTACTTTATTGATGTATTAGCGGTCGTCCGCGACTCCGTTCGTGCACAATTATAAAAACAGCCAAGTTAGTAGCCTATGTGTTCTTCCAGCCTATGTTTTATATGTACATCAAATTTCATCGTGATCCATTCAGCCGTTATGGAGATACCTTCAAACTAACATCCATCGATCAATCCACATAAACATTCGAATTTATAGTATTAGTAAGTTTACTATTATACGTAGGTGAAGTTTAACAAGTAACTAATTAGATATAATTTTTTTTCCAGAAGACAAATGATAAATGAACAAAATATACCAATGTCGTGTGCGTGGATGACGTCGTATGGTTCTCAAAAAGCGGCTGAGAAAGACAACTGGGAGACGATGTTTGAGATAGCGCCTGATGAATTAGGAGAAAAGTGTGGATTAGTCTTCAAAGATTCACCAAAGTCGTTTAAATTAATGCTTGTAAGAAAGAGTTCTGTGCGGTCATAAATATTCCATGTATAGCGAAATTGTAATTATTAAAATTTTATTTACTTTTACATTATTTTTTTTAACATATTTGGAAGAGACCTTACAAGAAATAAAAAGTCATTGTTTATCAAAATAAGAACATATTGTATATCAATTTTTGATTAAGTAAGAACATTATTGGTTATCTGACCTAAAATAATTTACGATAAACTTATCACTATCAATTCAAAAGTTATTCCCAATCATCGTTCAAGTCCACGGTAGTGTTGTGGTGAACAATATCAAATGTATTTGAACATTTAATCCTATTGGTTGTTCATAGAGTGTTAATAAATTTAAATTATGTCGTCGAATAAAGAGCCGTGTCGTGTATGGTGCCGTTTCGAACGTAAGAGGAAAGACGGTAGTGTTTTAAAATTACGAATTCAGGATCCACCAAGCTCAGCTCAAGATCACGTCAAAGACTTTATAGCCAAATATTTTCTAACAGAAGAAACATTTCAAAAGGCTGCAGGTTAGTAAAAATGTATGATTGAAACTTTTCAAATGCAATAAAGAATAGCTTGAAGACAGGCGTGAAGTGGGAGCAATTCCGCGTTTCGTCTGATGAGTGTGCGTTCCGGAGGCCTAATTTAGTCCTCTTTCCCTTCCACCCTTTTTCTTATAAGGAAAGGATGGGAAATGGAAGTGGGTTATCCGGATGAGAGGATGCATGGAAAGGGAAAATATTTTCTTTCTGTGCATCCTCTCCTCCGTCGATTAAAGGTAGGCAACGCATATGCAATTGCGTATGTCAGGGGTCAAGCGCTTGACTTGCAATCTGCAGGTCGTGGGTTCGAATCCCGTCATGTACCGAAATCGGAATCGGAAATCGAAAAACACATTTTTCGATTTCCGATTTACATATGTACATTCCGACGTTCTTGCGGTGAAGGAAAACATCGTGATACAACCTGCACATATCTGAGAAGAAATTCAAAGATATGTGTGAAGTCAACCAACCCGCACTTGGCCAGCGTGGTTGACTATGGCCTAATCACCCTTAACTTAGGGTCGGCTCCGAGCCCCTCGATGGGGACGTATAGTGATATAGCTGAGGACGACGAAAATAATTGTATTTATTATTCTATAGGAATAAGTTCCAATCCTGAAGCGGTAGAAGAATATCGAGGAATTTTGGAAGTAGTAATAAAATTATGGACCGTTGTAATTTGCTGTTACGATGATAGCGAAGAGGTTGGGGATATTCTCGGAGTATCCATTGTAGAGTTGGTTGAAGATGATTCATTTGACGGTCAACAGGTAAATTACAAATATTGTTTTATAACATGAACCCGGCAAACGACCAGGTCATCTTTCCATAACTCTTTCACCTTAGAGGTTAGCCTTCAGCTCAGCGAACTTCAGGCCACCAAGTGGTGTACCAAGCGAAGTATGTCTATGATATTTCGTAACTATGTATTTCTTCGTCCAGCGCAACGATCAGTTGGAAAAGATCTTTTTCTCTTGCCGCAAAAAATGAGTGCTAGCCTCTGCAACACAATGTTGTAGAAGAGTTGCTCACCTTCATTGGACAGAGTAGAGAGAATTTATCTTTTTCCAGTGTATTCTCAATTGTTACTTTCCGATTCTTTCGTTATTCGTAAAAGATAGGGTAGATTTCTATCTGGCTTCCGGCTGATATAAATAATTAAGATAAGCTAGATTGAAGCTCCTATTTTAATAACTAAAAATAGCACTATCGCGGTACGGACATAATAATGAATCATAGCAATCAGCGATAATTTTTATGGATGGCCAAGTTAGCAAGCGTTTGGATACTTTAACGAATCTTTAAGGAACATTATTTTGTATGCATGATTTTTTTTGACAAAACGTTAATAGCAGACCGACAGGCAATATGAACTGGTGGGCAGAAGTAAAATTAAATTATTATAGCTCACTAGCGCCCCTCTGTCAATGTCAAAAATTGTCTCAAAATCGTTTTTGTACTGTAGCTGTCATATAATTTTTTCTTTTATTTATTTTTCCATGTCTAAGAAGTCTTTATATTTATTCTGACAGAAGCAACCGCGATAGCAGCGCCTTTAACACCAGTTCAGATATTCTTATAGTATACACGATTATTTTCTAAAACATTTTATTGATAGATAAATTCGTTTGCGTTTTTTTAGTTACAGATGGTTGAAAACCGAAAATTATTTCAAATAGTAGGAGAATGTGAAAATTTAGTTAAACCATTAATAAAAGATCTAAAAGGCTACCATAGTGGAAGAGGAATCACTGTTCATCCTGACTGGAGAGGACTTGGTATCGCAACTGAATTTGTGAAGATAAGGTAAGTTAAATATATTAAAATACTACCTTAACGTTTGCGACTCCGTCCGTGCGGAATTAATATAAAAACTTAATAAACAACCTAAGTTTTCTTCTAGACTATGTTATCTGCGCCAAATTTCATCAAGATCCGTTGAACTAATCTGGATATTGTGATATTTTTTTACTTTTATGGATATTTACCTTAACATTTATAATGTAGTTAAATTTGACATTAAAGATTTAGGCAGGCAATCGATAACAAATCTATGTTTCAGACGACAGATGATAAACGAACAAAATATACCAATGTCGTGTGCGTGGATGACGTCGTATGGTTCTCAAAAAGCGGCAGAGAAAGACAACTGGGAGACGATGTTTGAGATAGCGCCAGAAGAACTGGGACAAAGGTGTGACGTAGCCTTCATAGATCCTCCAAAAACGTTTAAATTAATGTTTGTAAGAAATCCTAACAGTACTAAACAGTGGTCGAATTGATTTTAAATAAAAATTTTAGTTTACTTATTTCATTTTTTAGAATTTCATCTCACACGTCTTACAAACTCTGTATTAATTTGATGAAAATTCGATATCAAACCGTACAGGAAGAAAAATCACACAAAAATAAAAGGAAAATAAATATTTTCTTAAAACATTTTGTTCGTTGTTATTTTGTATTATCTTCAAAGTTACAAAGAGAAGCGAACTTGTTGAATACGTGACTGATGGCAAAAAGAAAGTCTGTCATTTTATTCCTTTTTATGATATTAACATATTTTATTCTACAGTGTGTTTGGTCGTGTTTTACCAAATAGTGTTATTTATCAATCTCCTAATTATATATATAATAATCAAATTATAATTTAAATGAACATAGTTACGAATATGACTAAAATAACAATGTCGTCTAACTTCCAAAGAGGTCTAAACCATCAACAAAGTGTGTATGGGTAACCCAAATTGGGTTAGTATTTTTTATTTTTCATAAGAAAGCAGTAATTTTAGACATTATTTATTAGAATCCTCACGTGTCAAGTGTCTCAATGATTAGTGGTGCGCCGATACACCGGCACAGTGTCGGATTTTCTTAATAACAGTAGTAACATCGTACCGATTCTTTCAATCTTACTAATATATATCTTATAATATTGCCCTATTCTGACTTACTCCGCTGGCGCAGCGACCTAATGTGGGTCTTGGTACAAGAGAACGCCAAAGTCGCATGTCCTGCGTCTCCTACCAATCCATCGCTTGTAACTCCCACAGGTTTGTACGCCGGCTCGCTATGATTATGAATAAAAAATTCTAATTTGTGCCATAATATGAGTACTCAATGAACTCCGAAAGCGGATCGTCAATCCTATTTTTAGGGTTTTTAAAGACCTAAAGCAACTTAATAGCATCTTCATAAGTACATTTTGTATTATTTATTTGCATTGCAAAATACTCACGCTGTGTTGGATAGCAACATTAATTTCACAGTGACGCAATTATCTGCGTCACACAATGTTAATTAAAACAAGCAACAATTGTTTCTAATCTTATCGTATTAAAAGGAATCCTTTTATGAATATGAATGATTTCTCATAATCTCCAATCTCATTATAATTGCAATATGAGTTTCTATTTTTAGCGCAAAAAAAATAACCATGTTAAATAACCAATAAACATGACAAATTGATCGCTATGCCAAAAATTAACAGTGATAGTAGAGCCCGCTTTAACATCTTCGCACGAATTGTCCCGCCTCGCCCGGTGAAATACCACGACCTCACAGAAGACAGGTGTGAAGTGGAAGCAATTACGCGTTTCGTCTGATGAGTGTGCGTCCCGGAGGCCTAATTTAGTCCTCATTCCCTTCCTATCCTTTTTCTTATATGAAAAGGATGGGAAATGGAAGTGGACTTTCCGGATGAGAGGATGCATGGGAAGGGAAAATATTTTCTTTCTGTGCATCCTTTCCTCCGTCGATATGCAATTGCGTATGTCTATGGGCAACGGTCGCTTCGCTATTTCAGCGATTTGAGGTGGCCGCTCGCTCGTTTGCCACCATATGATATAAAAAAGAAAAATAAAATGTGACTTATTTCAATTAATCTAATGTACAGTCAGCGTCATATAGATCGTAACAGACAAGATATGCAAATATATAGGTACATCAAAAGTAATCAATTATATCGGTACAACAAAAGTCCTCAAAATAATAGATACATTCACCCTGCTCAAATACATCGGTACATACACAGCGTCAAATATATGAGTACATGCAAGATGCTCATAAATATCGTAGCAGCCACAGCGTCATAAGTAACGAAGCAGTCAAGGTGCGCAAAAATATCGGTACATTTGACAAAATTGAACTCTATCTCTATATACTTGTGATACAATTTGGAATAAACTACTTCTGTTACATTCATTTGACACTTTGCATCAAACCATTTTTCAAAATTTACTAAAAGTGTTCGACGCGGATGACAGATATTAGGTAAATAAAACCAACATCAAATTTAAGTTTGTCATCATATATGCTAGTTTGGTCTCGTGGCCTTACCGTTCGCCGCCGTTGGTACGTAAGGTCGGCGATTCAAATCCCAAGCCACTAGTTTTTTTTTTTGATATTTAAACTTTTTAATTTTAATATCGAAGCACATGTAATTAAACTCTATCGCCGTAGTTATTAGGTTCTTTTTGATATTGCCTTGGACTAATGAGTTTGACCGTTAAAGTACTTTTCTATTTCAAACAAAAATGAAGGAGATAAAGCGATGCTATTGGCATTTAATTTGTTTATTACTCATGTTTGTTAAACTTGTACCGGTAAAAATAACACTTTTACTTTTACCTTTTACTGATACTGATTATATTTAAGAAACAAAGAAAAAAAAACTGAATGTCAATATCCAACCTACATCAAATTTTTGGTCGATTGCAATAAACATTCCAGTGTGCGTGGGCGCGCACACATATGTAGATAACACTTGTACGTATAGTTTCCGCGCGTACCATTCTTAAAACCCGCAAAGACAATCCACGCTCCGCCCACTCACTTCACCCGCGATGGTCTGACCTAATTGTTGTTAACTTTATTTAAATTTCTTTCTACCCGACAGCGAAAATTATAAAAAAAATTATCGAGCAAAATTTTACATTACCAAATTTTTACTGGTTATGAAAAAATAACCCCGTGATTGATAAAATGAAAAAAAGTAGCCTGAGATTCGAACCGGTAAACTTACATATTACGGCAAACATACTAGAATACTGCGCCAAACTAGTTTATATTGTGACAAGGCAAAATTTTACATTAGTTATTACGTATCTGTCATATTCGGCGTGACAAACTTTTATATTTAAGCGTTATGACAGAAGAAAAATATTGGGTTGCCCAGTAAGTTCGTGCCGCTTTATAAAGAAAATTGAAACCCTGTTCTCTTAAATTTTTGGAAATGTTTTTAAATTATATTGGTACGACTATATACCTAAAACGTCTTTTATTACTGGATAAAATTTTAAAAATTAGTTTTTATCTCAACTAACGAAATGAAATTATTCACAATATAGAAATTTTTGTGACGTTTGATAATGGTGGAAATCCGAAAATGAATCCACTTCAGCTACAGTCTATTGTAAACTTTATATCGAAAATCAGAACGAACTTTCCGGAC